GCACAAATGTTTTGGCCACATGAATTGCTTTTGTGCAGTTTGAGTCAGTTGTAAGTGTGCCCTCACACAGACAGTGTGCACTGGGCCTGTTAGGAATGAACTTGCCCCTTCTGTCCTACCCCCTCCCACCTGCTTGCTATCTGTTGAGTTTTTCTACCAAATGTGCCTGTGGGTGTTGATTGATTAGTTACAATTTAACAGTGAGCACATGTGGTGTTTGTTTTTCCATTCTTATGCAATTTCACTTAAATGGTCTGCAGTTTCATCCAGATTGCTTCAAAAGTTATGAGTTCACCATTTCTTTCCAATGGCTGAGCAATCCTCTGTCATAGACATACATCACATTTCATTAATCTACTCATGTATCGAGGGGCACTTGGGTTGGTTCCAAATCTTAGCAATTGTGAATTGTGCTGTAATAAACAGTCAACTGCATTTTTTTTTTAAGTAAAATAAGTTTTTTCCCCTCTTTGGGTAAATACCCAATCGTGGGATTGCTGGATTAAATGGTAGGTCTATTTTTAGTTCTTGAGGACTCTCCAGACAACTTCACACAGAGGCGGCACTAGCCTGCAGCCCCAGCAGCACCATGTCAGAGCTCCTTGCTCTCCACACCACACCAGCAGCTGTTGTTTGGAGATTTCTTGTTAAACACCATTCTTACTGGGGTTAGGTAGTACCTCACTGCAGTTTTCATTTGTAGTTCCCTGATTAAAAATGTTGAGCATTTGGGTGGCACCTATGGCTCAAAGGAGTATGGTGCTGGCCCCATATGCTGGAGGTGGCAGGTTCAAACCCAGCCCTAGCCAAAAACTGCAAAAAAAGAAAAAAAAATTGAGCATTTTTCATATGTTTATTAGCCATTAGTCTATCTTTTTGGGTGAAGCTTCTATTCCTGTATTTTGCCCACTTTTTGTATGGGGTTGTTAGTTTTTTTGTGTGGATTTTCTTGAGCTCTTTGTAGATTCTGGTTATCGGCCCTTCATCAGATGTGTAGCATGCAATTATTTTCTCCCATTCAGTAGGCTGTCTGTTCACTTTGATTGCTTTCTTGTCTGAGCAGAAACTTTTTAATATGATCAGGTCCCATTCATTTATTTTTGTTGTTGCAGTAATTGCCTTTGGGGTCTTTTTCATAAATGCTTTGCCTAGGCCAGTATCTATAAGAGTTTTTCCAACATTGTCTTCTGAAATTTTTGTAGTTTGATGCCTTAGGTTTAAGTCTGTTATCCATTGTGAATTAGTTTTTGTGAGTGGTGAGAGGTGAGAATCCCGTTTCAATCTTCTCCATGTGTCCTCCAATTTTCCCAGGACCATTTATTGAATAAGGGGTCCTTTCCCCCAGTGTATGTTATTGTCTGCTTTGGCAAAGAACAAATGGGAACATGAGGGTGGCTTTATGTCCCGGTTTTCTGTTCTGATCCATTGGTCTGTGTCTCTCGTGCCAGTACCAGACTGCTTTGGTTACTACAGCCTTGTGGTACAGCTTGAAGTCTGGTCAGGTGGTGCCTCCTGGTCTGTCCTTCTATATTTCAGAAACCAGGGTCTAAAGTGGATACTGCTGCTCAGTGGAACATCAGCTTCAGTTAGGCCAATCCTCTTCTGCCAAACAGCATTGGGGATTTGGTTCACAAACCTTGGGCACATCTGGGAGAAAAGGTTTTTCTGGCAAATCTGAATAGCATCATAAGGTAACATGTATTTTTTGCCACCCACGAGAAGCAAGGTGGCCGTGTTTGCCAGTTACCTCCACGTGACTTCTATCCCCAGGACTACAATGAAGGCAATACTCATCTGGAATATATCTTTCCCTCTTTCCAAAACACAAGCCACCGGGGCTGCCAACACAGGCTCATAATCACTAAGGCAATGATGCCAGCAGGAAAGAAACCACCACGGTTGATAAAGGCTGTTGGCAAAAATTGTGTTCATCATGAACATTTTTCCTTTTGCCTTCAGCATTTTGTTCTCAGCATAAATATTTTTATTCAACAAGACATAAAACTACAAGAAGAAAATAAGTCTCCTCGGGCTGGTGGGTAAGCTGTGTTTTCCCTTCTCCTCTTTCCTTATTAAAACAGCCTAAGACAAGGGCTGAAATCAGAGAGATAGCTAACCTCATCATCAAAAGCAATGTTAGGCCAGCACGGTGGCTCACACCTGTAACTCCAGCACTCAGGGAGGCTGAGGTGGGAGGATCACTTGAGGTCAGGATTTGAGACCGGCCTGAGCAAGAGGACACCCATCTCTACTAAAAATAGAAAAAATGGCAGGATGTAGTGGTGCACATCTGTAGTCCCCGCTACCTGGGAGGAAGAGGCAGAGGCAGGAGGATCTCTATCTAGAGCCCAGGAGTTTGAGGTTGCTGTGAGCCAGGCTGACACCACTGAGCTCTAGTCTGGGGCAACAGAATGATACTGCCTCAAAAAGGAAAAACAAAAAGAGGAAGGAAGGAAGGAAGGAAGGAAGGGAGGGAGGGAGGGAGGGAGGGAGGGAGACCAAAATAGCAAAAGAAAATACCTCTCTCTTTGGTCACAGGATGGAGAGAGCAGTGGGAGAGGTCAAACTGGGGATAGGGAGAAGAATAAGAGAGTTTATTTAAAAAAAAGAAAGAAAAAGAAAAAGTCAAGTTCCCTGGAAATCCAGAGCGGTACCACATCGCACAGTTAGAGGTATAAAGCCACACACACACATACAGTCACCAGTACGGGTTTAAAATGTGTGCACTCTTTAAAGTCCAAGAGTGCAATTCCTTTGTGCTACAAAGAGGATGAAGAAATCCCTAAAAGGAATCAACAGCAGCCTCCCCAGGGTCTACAGCCATCTCGCACACTGGGACCCCCTCTCCTACTTTACCCACCCACTGTGCTCCAGCCTCACAGCGTTTCCCAGGCCCACCTCTGTGTCCTCTGTACCTCGGGGCTTTGTACTAGCTCTTCCCTCCCCCTGGAACACTGATCCCCACAGACAGCCTCAAAGCCGCCGTCCTCATCCCCGCCAGGTGTCTTCTCCACGCCCAGTTACAGAGCAGGTTTTCCTGAACAACCCACCTCCAACAGTACCCACCACCTCACCCTG